TCAGAACGCATCAAATGCGCTGGTCTCCTTAGTCTGGCGCCTTAGACCGCTCGGCCATCTCACCATGGTAGCAAGCTCACATTGCTAGCTCTATAGCGGTTAATTGTAGTTATCCCTGGACCGCCTCCGCCTCGCAACTCTTTCCTTTCTCTCTTCATCGGCCAATGGCGACCGACTTTTGGGCTAGTTCACATTAGTGAGAAGTGCTATACGAGGCGCCGACTTCTTGTTAACTTTCTACGCTCAGTACGCGCTGGATCGTTGACCGGGCGACGTTGAAGCAAGCACGCGCAGACGATTCAGCGTATGTTCCTGAGCCAGAATATCTCGATTTTCTGACTATCTATTTCGCGAATCGTGGGTGGTTTAATTTCTGTGATTGACTCTCGGTCCCATCAAATTCTAGTTATCACAAAGTTGGGCAAAAAACTCCAATTTCGACAACGAGTTGTAGCCACCGCCACTGTATTCTTCCGGAGGTTCTACCTGAAGAACTCGTACTGCGAAACAGACCCTTACCTTGTTATATCAGCCTGCTGTTATGTTGCCGCAAAAGCAGAGGAGTCCCCAGTACACATCAAGAATGTTGTGACCGAGTCTCGTTCTGTCTTTGGTCGTAAGTTTTCAGCACGTTGTTCGGATTAGTTCAAGTATCCTCAACATGATGCGTTGTAGAAGCACCATATAATGTCAAGCACTTCCCTTCTGACAACTCTAAACTCGCAGAAATGGAGTTTTACCTTGTAGACGATCTGGAATGTGATCTAGTCGTCTTTCATCCGTATCGAACGTTGCTTGCTTTGTGTAAAAAAGATTCATCTATGTCTCCTGGTGGCGGGAACTCCGATATGCCTAGTCAAGAGGCTGAAGCAGGAGAGTTGGGAACCGGAATCGGCGCTGAGGACGGACCAAGGTTTTGGGGTACAGGCGAAGGAAAACTCGAATTATCTGAAGTGGCATTACAAACTGCATGGTACATGGTTATTTGCTCTGACCTACTCCCAGTATTGAAAACTCCGCGTTCAGGTTCATAATCAACGACACCTACCGTTCTGAGCTATGCCTCCTTTATCCACCTCATCTAATTGCAATCACCGCCATCTACCTTACCCTTGTCCTCCACACGCCGACTCAGAATAGTATCGCGCATCTACTACCTCATTCTTCGGCGTTCAACTCTGATATTCCGATCGCAAGCGAGTCTCCTCAGGCAACTCCTCAACCAAGGCGTTCATCGCGTTCAAGTGATCCTTCATCAAAGCAAACACAACAAGACCCCATAAGCTTCCTTGCAGATCTCAACGTCTCTCTTTCTGCTATTTCCACCATAGCGCAAGAGATCATATCGATGTATAGTTTATGGAATCGGTATAAAGAGGACCCCACAGCTGAAGAGACTAGAAATTCTAATATGGGTCCCAGCATGGGTAAGAGAAGCGTCACCGGCAATCCAAAGAATACAGTAAGAGGGCACCGTGTGTACCAGAGTATGCAGAATCAGCCAAATCCTCGAAATATCCCCGCCTCTACTGCCTCCGATCTCGAATGGCAACGCGAACGACAACGACTCGGCGTGATGCAATTGCAAGCGCATGCAATGGCAACTTACAAAAAACAGGGATATCTTCCTGCGCCATCATCACAGATGATGAGCGGCATGCCTCCGTTTTTCATCCAACAGCATACACAACAACAAATTCAACATCCTTATCCTCCGGTACTAGCTCCAGTCTCCCTCGGCTCCCTCAGCCCCACAAAGCGATTCTCAGCCGGAGCGGGATCAGGCTCGGGCTCTGGAACTGGGTCGCCGAACAGTGCGAGTGGAGGGGGACGGATAGAAGATTTATTCGGAGACGGGCCAGGTTCTGGTTCTCCTGCTTCTCATACTTCGCAGGCAGGAGTAGGTCAAAGGTCAGGTTCGACTCCGTTGGGTAATACTCCCGGAAGTGTAGGAGAAGGCGGAACAGACGACAGCGCCAATCAACCGAATAACCCTTGGCCATTCGGTCAAGGACGGGTAGTTACGGCCATGTTCTTATCTTCGATGCTGAACAGCATGCGAGAAGCTAGGATGAGCGATATGGCGCATCCGTCAAGTGGGAGACCGGTAGTTGTTAATCGAATGTTGGAAAGGACTGGATGACTCTACTAGGGATGATATCCACGATGAGAAGAAGATGCTCTCAAATCGTCGCGGACTCAATCGAAGTGGATATTGTCAAATGTATGTAGGTTAAGGTGCACAATGGAATAAAACTCATGACCATCGTCTATCCATCCGTCCTTTGTGAAATCTGTTTTGTTCGGGTTTCTTCCCTTCTACCAGCGGGCTCACATGTTACAAAAGGGCGGACCAAAACGAATGCCTCGTGTGAGCTTGTCTATTCCCACCTTTGATGCAGATAAAACCTAACCGCGAGCACACAAGTGTAGTTCTGGGTCCGAATCGCCTTAACTTTGGTGGCTCTACCGGCTCTTTGCGACCATCTATCTCGCTCAAACCAGTGGACTGATAATTCAATGGACCATATCAAAACCGATATAACGTTTGTTGCTTCTCACCTTGTTACACGGACTTCAAGATACTCGAAATGTGCGAAAGTCCATGCCGTTTAGAATCTTCGACAACTTGAAAACAAATTCAAGGCTTTCGTAGGCAAGATGTAGGTCAATCATTGTTTGATATCGGTTAAATCCTTCGTTTCATCTTAGTCGCACTCTGGACAAATATCTCAATTGTCCTAGATGCACAACATTGTTCTGCGACGTTTTTCTGGCGAAACGCTTATACGGTATGATATTCGAAATCGGTGCTGTAATTCGCGTTCAAAATCTAGGTATCCGTACTACTTGGGACTTCAGTCAGATGTCCCTTGTAAACGTCAATGAGTAGCAGATAATCATCAATCGGTTCACATTTTTCATACTCCCCAACCTTGTCTTTGACCCATGTACCATCTGTACCTGGCTTCTGACTGCCAAGAATTTCCAGATAGTGTTCAAGATTGGTCACTGTCATACCCGCGACGAATGCGCACAATTCGGCCTTTTCAACGTCCTCACCGAGACTTCGATTTCGTATCCAGCCATAAAGCTCCTACCGCCCCATGCAATGTGAATAAGCACCGGCATCTTGACAATGGTAGATGGAAAGCCGATCGCAGTGAAATTCAAAATTCGGGCTCATACTCATCAGGTTCGTTGAATTCCCCTGTTTCCTCTCGGGAGTAATCTGTCCTCGATGTTTGCATAAGATGCCTTTGCCATCCATATAAGGATTGTTGGGATATCCTCAAAATCAAGGCTCCTATTTTCTGAAATCTAACCACTCAACACCGCCGACCAACTCATTCACACGTACTATGTAGTATCATGGATTTTGGTGACACCCACGCTGCCTGAAGTTTGATCATTCATCAGCATTCTAATGAATGGCTACAATGTAAACATATGGAATTTCACTCAACAATTTTTGATGCTGACACAATTTTTCCACCGCATCGTCTTATAACATTCTCGCCATCGATAATGCAAGATATAGCAGTTCTCCACCCGTTCTGTTATCATGGCAGACACTCTAGGAATTAGCGAAGCTCAAATCTTGGGATTGTTTCTTGCCAGTGTGTTTTGGGGTATGCTAGTCATCACCTTTGTCCAAACAATGCGGTATCTTCTCTGGGATTCCAACGCCGAAGGCGGGGGGCTAAAACATGCCTCGAAAATCAACTGGCCAATGCTTGTTGTCGCCCTCCTCCTGATGGCTTTATCGACTTTTGACGTTTCACTGGGTCTGATGCATAGCATCGAAGCGTTCATCTTCTACACCGGTCCCGGCGGCTCCGCTGCTAGGTTTACAGGTTTGACGGACTGGGTGAATATTCTGAAGGTTCGTACTATTTCTTCGATCCCTTACTCAAATTTCGACGTTTAATCCATCCTCAGACGTGCAATGTTGTGTTCGGCAAGGTGATCAGTGACGGTATTTTGGTCAGTCTTTGAACCGCTTCAATCTGTAGTTGAAGTCGTATACAACCTCTATATATAGATCTACCGATGCTGGACAATCTGCAATCGTAGCATTGTCATTATAATATTTCCAATACTCTTGTGGATGGGATATCTCGGTACAGGGATATTTGTCATTTATCTGGAGGCGAGCGCAGGGAATCCTAGAGTGTTGCTGACTGGAGGATTGTCCAAACTCACTCCCAGTATCACTGCTGGTTGGACGATGTCTTTGGCTAATAATATCATTACCACTGGTAGATCTGCTATCCCTTAAATCAGTATTAGTCTAACCTGCATATTCATCACAGGAATTATTGTTTATCGTATCTGGCGCGTAGACAGAACCAATGCGCTATACGGTATTCAAACCCAGGAATCATCCTTACAAGGGACCCACGGTCTCTTTGGCCGCTCGAAGCGTCGAAGAACGAAATTGCAAAATGTCATTCGAATTATCATCGAGTCCGGATTAATGTACACCACCATTGCTTTCATCACATTCATCACCTTTGTGGTGGGAAGTAACTCTTTCTATCCAACTTCAGATGCGGTAAGTATGCTTGCCTCGACTTTTGCCCTCAACTGCTCACCCGACAACGCACTCAACAGGAGCTCCAGATTCTTTCAATTGCATTCAATCTCATCATCATACGCATCAGTACTCGACCCAGTAGTTCAGAGAGCTATCACAGTGCAAGTGCACAACTTGCGGCACCACAGACATTCCCATTGCGCAAATTCAGCTTTGCAATGAAGAGGACGGTTGAGAATACTAACCCAGAGGTTGAATCCGCGCCGTATTCAGTGGCAAGTGCAAATAAACTACCACATGAGTCTTTTCTAGATGTCGAAGAAGGCAGTTGGTCGCAAAGGGCTAAATCAGCTCTTGATCCTCACTGAAGGCTCAATGTCAACGGCGTAATTTATGATATTTATGAACATTGGCGTTGAAAGACTCCGTTGAGGACTTTGATCTCATCTTGTTTCGTGCCGGGGGTATAGCTCAATTGGGAGAGCAGCAGACTGAAGACATCATCAGTTGAATTCTGAAGGTCCCGCGTTCGATCCGCGGTACCCCCAGGTTTATTTTTTCTAAGGCTTCATTCATTATGTACATGAAATGTATGTATACTAGTAAGTGTTTTTCGTGATTTGTGCAGTACAAGCGGTAAAGAGCCCTCAAGACATACTTTATAGTAACACAACATATGCATTCATTCATTGTACAGCACTAGACTGATGAATCCAAGCCCCCCTCAACGTCCATCCTGCTTTTGTTGTCGATGGCAGATCTATATGAATCTCTGCCACCCCGTGAACGCGCAGGAGGATAATCTACATCTACACTCTCTTCGTTTGTAACCATAACTTCAAGGGTCCTTTTCGATGTAAGTTCATCTGGGGCTGGGCTAGTACTGTCCATCACGGAAGTGAAGGTACGCAGAGGGAATGATGGATGATGATTTGGCTTGCTAGTCTGCACGCTGTGGTTTTCTTCAGGCCGAGTGCTGATACGGATGATGATCAAATTGAATGCTATTGAGAGGATTTGTAGCTCCTGTGTATCACGGACATAAGTAATTTATCAGTATCAAGGTAAGATTTGTTCCTCACTGCGTCAGAAGCGGCATAGAAAGAGTTACTGCCAGTCAAGAAAGTGATGAAGGTAATGAATGCAATGGTCGTATAGAGAAATCCTGATTCGATAATAACTCTTGTGACGTTTTGCAATCTAGTCCTTTGACTACTACGACTGAAGAATGCGCGACTGCGTGACGAATTGCTCTGCATAGCGTACATTGAGCTTTCTCTGTCGACACGCCAGATGCGATAGACGATAAGCCCTACAATACATTGATGAGCACAGGATTCACAGTGAAGATAAAAGCGAGTGTACATACCAGTAGCTATTATGTTATTAACGAGTGACAGAGTCCATCCAGATGTAATACTAGGTGTAAGATCCGACAGGCCTGGGCCTGTCAGAAGGACGTGAGGATTATCGGCACTTGCCTCTACATATACGACGAAAATGGCGAGACCCAGGTAACCTAACCACAAAAGGAGTGGAAATGCGACGACAAGCCATCGTTTGTTGTACACCACCCAGCAGCGGTAAACCTGTGGTATGTGTAATCAGTGCCCTGCATGGGTGATACACAGAGATAGAAGACCGTACAAGGACACCGTCACTTATAAGCTTTCCAAACACCACGTTACATGTCTAAGTTACTGTGATTGAGAACAGAGAATTACTGATCGAACAGTAGGACGTACCTTGAGAATGTTGACCCAATCTGTTAATCCTGTGAACCGAGCGGCAGATCCCCCTGGTCCTGTGTAAAATATGAAAGCTTCGATGTTGTGCATCAACCCTAATGCAACATCAAAAGTCGATAGCAATGCTAACAACGCTGCGACGACAAACAAAGGCCAGTTGACTGTTGCCGCAGGCTTTAGGACTCCTCTCGAATCCCATAATAGATAGCGTATGCATTGGATGAATGTGATCAGAAACATTCCCCAAAAGACACTGGCGAGAAAAAGTCCCAAGAGCTGAGCCTCGCTGATTCCCAGTGCCATGTTGGAACAGACGAGTTCGTTGTTGAAGTCGTGCACGGGAGAGCCTGAGCTTGTTTGAGATGAACGGGAGGTAACAGATCAGCTTCTTGATATACCCCTTGATATTTTGACTGCTGTTGGACATTGCCGCATGATTAAGAAAAGCAATCATAGTATGATCAGTCCCCCTGACAATCTAGGAGGAAACCTGTGTAGATAACTTACTGAACTAATAGACAGTCGCTGATATCCCCTCGCTCTCGCACGGATTTTGCTCCTGTTCAACTGGTTCTTCATGAATCTTTGAAGGTATTCGAAGAAGAAAGGACACACCGAGGTCTGACAGCAGGTTATATCTCAAGTAATTTCTTAAGCAGTCTCGTGCTTGACAGAGTCACGGAAATATCCTGAAGCCGGGGAACAGCGAAAAGTTAGCAATCCGAGTCGGAACTGGAACTGCTGTCACTGACTGAAGTATTCGGACATTTGGTTGAATAGAGATAGCGTACAAAGCGGGTGCACATCATAGATTGATGGATCTTGAGAAACAGCGGGAGCGTGTAGTGTTGGAAGGAATTATAGGGGAAGGCACCTGCGATATAAGATTTTGAAAATCCTCTTATTCACTTGGTTTGGACAATTTCTCTCTCCTAGGATGTAGTGGGGTTCTAAACGCGTTACACCGGTATGTGCATATGATATCGCATGATTCACAGTCCCAAAGGCTGGAAGACTTGATGGCTACGCTGCTCGGGATCACACAATCCTAGGCCTGTTTTTTTGTTTAGTGCTCAAACACGGGTATCAAAAATCTGCGAGCGCTGGAGAGAGAGTAGCAACTTCACCAAAGAAGGAAACAACCTATATTTCTGAGTCCGAGTTCATCGACCCTGCGGGTAAGATTATTTGTAATGATAACAACCCCTCGGAAATTTAGATGTTGACTTGGTTGGGAAGAAATTTAGGGAGTCCTCCGCTGCCAAAAACAGCTTTGACTTGTAGTTAGACCCAACGAGAAATCGATGCCTCATCGAGGATATACAGCTTATAGAAAAGCAAGCTGAGTGATGAATTTCCCGTGAAGAGCGAGAATAAAGAGAGGTGCCCCTTCACAGACCAAGTGGAATATGAGAGTCAGCATCCATTTCGAGCGACCGTCGCTGTTGATGAGATGTACGAGCAATATGTAGTGCACCAGTAAAATTACGTCGTACAACACTTAACATACAAAGTAAAAACAGCAAGCAGCGATTGTCTAGAAAAGGCTGATTGTCCGCATTGACATCATAGTCTATGTCTAGAATTATGTTAGAAACACGCGCCCTTCTGGATATCGGCCGGAAAGCTATGAAAGTGCCTATCTAACGAATAGTTTTTTTGCTCGTACCGGCTTTGCCGCACCCACATTACCAGTTTCCTGTTGATACAGCCGATACGCTTCTCGGAGATGGTCAGGGGAGAGGGGACCCGCCTCACCTCGACGTGCTTGTACCTGACGAGCTAGAGCACAGAAATTTGTATAATTCTCATTGTATCCTCGAATGATTATCCACACCTTTCTCCACAATCTCTCCAACAAAGACTTTGGAAAAACCCGCGACGATCTGTGCCACAGGTTGTGATGCTTGTTGCCCAGTCACTTGTTGGATTACCTATGATGAATAGGTAAGGTAAGGTATTGTAATGGAGGGATGAGAAGAACGACATGCCTTCCGGACAGCTTGTTTTGGTAAAGCGTGACGTCTATACGCTTCGAAACGGTCATATTGATCTGGACTGAAATTTTCCATTAAAACCCTGCAGCGAGGATAGCACAATCAGAACTCGATTCGCAAGATTCGTAATCATGACACACTTTAAGTTATCTTTCGATTGACTCTGCCATGATAGCTGTGCAGAGTAGTCGTCGTCCGCCATAGCAGGAAGTAGCTCGTCATCTCCCTCTCCTTCATCGTCTCCGCCTAAACCAGTAGCCCGCGGATATGACCCAGTTCCACTTGCGCCTACTCCTTCCGACATCCTGAATAGATTCGTGAGGTTGAGTGAAGCACCAATGCCTGTGGTCGCGCCAGATGATGTCCCGAGTGCGGAGGTTGAGGATGTCTGTAGATTCTGACCATACGCAGAGATACCTGAAGTGATACTCGATCCTGGTCTGGATTGGGCAATACCTGTAGCTGGAAGTACGCTACTGCTTCCACTGGCACCGGGAGAACTTGTTCCAGCTGTATTAGTCAGGTTCCAGTGTACATGTGGAGTGTATGTTGATGATGGAAACGCTGGACTCGTAGAGCTTGTCATCTCGGTGGTAGTAACGCGTGGAGAAGCGACGCCAGCAAGGATAGCTCCGCGAGGCTTGCGACCACGTTTGGCACCGCTACCTCGAGGTCGACCAGGCCCCGCATGTGAAGTTACAGTTGGAACAGCAGACGGTTCAGGACTTGGACTATTGAAAGCATATGGTGCATCTGGTACTTGAGGAGCACTCATTTCAACGTTGAGATCAGGTAAAAAGATACAAGTACTGAATTTGATAAATCTGGGAATTTGGGAAACCCACACAGAGTGAAGGACAGATGAGTGTTAAAGTCGAAAGACTACAATGTTTGGTTCATGTTTGGTCCTCTTGCTTTTGACCTCTTTATATCCTCAATTTCGTAGTTTAAAATATGGAAAATATGCAATTTGTAGTTAATAAGCTTTACCTATGCTCAACAATATCGATCAAGACAACACGAAGAAAGCTCGAAAAGTCTGTCTACACATGACTATCAGTGAAAGGATTCAGATCATCTGAATTGTCCGGTGAGGCAACCCCACTACTTCTTTGACTTGGACTAGGCGCAGAAGCAGAGCATGCCGGTGAAGTTTCTCTCATCTCAGTTCCCAACGTTGTGCTCCGAGCTCGGGCTTCGCGTGACCAAGGCCCAACGTCGTCATCATCTTCCCCTTCTCCGTCAAGATCGTCGCTGCGCACTTCAGCATCAAAATCAGCCTCTACTCCAACAGAAGAGGTTGGGGATGAATTAGCCAGAGACGACGATGGTTCTGGGAACGTGAAGGTCGATGAGGCATCAAAACTGTCGTCGAACAGTCGCAGCGAAGGTTCAATCTGCAGTGACTGGTCAAAGTCAAGTTCATCATTGTCGATAGGTATACCTGTGCGAGAATGGCTAGGTTGACTACTTTGCCAGTTGGTCATCGTGAAACCGGCTCCAAGGGACGACGCTGGAGAGTCATTTGAATAAGGAGGAAGGGTGTCAACCTCATTGGGAGGGGTAGGGAGTTGTATGTCCGTGAGTACTGTGTCGGGAGCGTCATTGGTTTCGTCGTCAGAGGTAGAGGCGGGAGTTTCGGGTTTGGGTGGATTTTTTAAAGCCTGCTCGGCAAGAACGTGACTCTGGCCACCCAAGGGGAATGAAGAGCGACGACGGTAGAAAAGAAGATAAGCATTAGCATTCTGTCGCGTAGACAAGTTAGTGAATCATACAACAATCAACAATCACAAATTCAATACG